TCATCGAAGTGCCTCCTCGAGTACCAGTCCAGGAAACCAAGCAGTACAAGGGACTTCAGGAAGATGCCATGTGGAAGAGCATCAAGATCCAAGGATGCACTCACGGGCAACGTTATACCTTTCGGGATCCTGTATCTCCCGAAACCGCCGTTGAGCTCGGCTACTGCAAGGATGAATGGGAGTACATTGCCGCAAACGTCGCGTTGCATCCTAAGTCGTCTGATGTGTGCTCGTCCAAACATTTGCACATGACTGATTCGGACGCTAAGGATCGATCTGATAAGTGCGAGTTGACTAGCCAAATCTCCAGAAGATTGCTTAAAGCCTTGAAATTTCAGGCAACTGGCGATGGGAGATTGGTAGCCATGCCGTCGAGGGCTGGTGGACGAAAGCCCGACCGCATGATTGTTGACCTCTGTGGCTTGGGTAATGGCTACGCCATACCTAAGTCCACTAAGGGTTGCTCTCGCATAACTTGCAAGGAGCTGATCAGCTCCAAAGCCGATGAGGACAACCTTATCGGCACAATGAAGGATGCGTGCCGGAACGACCTGCGCACACCTGTGCTATTCGTGGCATCGCTTTTGCGATCAGGTGCTGGTCCTGGAAGTAGTGAAGGGGCTTGCGTGGGGGGTGAGAAACGTTCTGGTGGGAAGTACAAGGTTTTCAGAGTGTCTTGAAATCTCTCAAACGCCTGCTGAAGAAGTGTGCGGAATTTTCCGACGTCTATTTTTCGCTTGACATGCCTTCTTCATGTTCATGTTGGTCTTGGCCAGAGTTGCATGCTCTTGTTTCAAGTGGCAAGGTGACGAAGGTTAAGGTTGATGATCATGTTGGTGCTGATGGCGATGGTGGTGGACGCAGGATCATGTTCTCTAACATGCCTGAAGCGGATCGTTTGGTGATGAGACCGGATGATTGCTTGGACCATGATTCGAAGAGCAGTTTGTCGCAGCGCATTGATGTCTCATGGCGGTCAATTGCGAGGAATGTTCGCAGCCTTGTTCGAGCTCATGTCAGTGTCAGTCATGTTGCACATGAATCTGAGGACATTGCACGGCAGCAACATCAGTGTGTAGACGCTGATGAAGGGGCTATTAGACAGCCCCAACTAAGGAACAACTAAGGTCTGACCAGACGGATCGGGGAAGGGTGCCTCTTACGGAGAACCCGGAACCGTGAAGTCGAGTAGGGTGTAGGGACTTCCCTCCTACGGAGGAAGGACCGAAACCCGAGCCATGGCTGAAAGCTACAATGCCTACGAGCTGGCCTTCGAAGGAGTGGACCACGAAGAAGTTTTCCCGTCTGGTGGGATGATGCGAACGTTTCTGAAGTTCCACAAGTTCCTGGAGATGTATTCTGGGGATTCGTCGCAGAGCGTTTCGCTCCCGCCGAAGATTACGAAAGACAAAGTGGTCGACAATGATCTCATTCGCACATGGGCAGCGTTCAAAGCACCTCCGTTGGTCTTGCTGTTCACGTGTGCAAATCTGTCGCCAGGAGGGGATCTTTCCATTCGAGTCCGAGAAATCCTCAAAGCTTGCTTATTTGCTGCCCCTGAGGAGTACATGGACAAACCCTATGGGGAGATACTCGCAATGGTCATCAAGTTTGGTGGAGGTCTCAAACACATTGTTGCTGACTACGAGGGGAAGTTCAATGCCATCACCAGGTTTATGGTGGATGAAGAAGTGATCCGCGATGATGCAAAATTGGCTGTGGTTGAACTGGAACAAGAACGAAAACAAGTTCGGTTCGACTTGAACACTGCAACAAGGAACATCGTCAGTGCGGACGGGTACTACAACCTCGCCGTTCTCATCAACTCCGTGGAGACGCCCTACCAGACTGTGACAGACACGAGAATTCAACAATGGTATACGGTGAATCAGGACTACTACCACAAGTTGCCTATGTCGGGTAGAGCACCTGACCAATCAGACCTGTTGGCGGAGCCTACGTTATGTAGGGTGTGCAAGCTGATGTACATGTTCGCAAAACACACTGGGTATGGACTACGGACCTACAACCAAGAATGTGCAGCGAGCAACGATGGCGCTACGCCACTCAACGTTCACCAGCTGGCTTTGATGATGCGCACAATGCCTCAAGGCATGGGACATCCGCTCGCCTTTGCGATGAACTCGCTCCAGGCGTTCAGTGTCTGTCTCCACGTGCTTCATTCCTACGTATCATGGGTTGATCCAGATACTGGACACCCGCATTACAGATGGTCCAACGATGTGCTCCCTGATTCCGACTACACCACGTATTCTTTCCTCAAGCACCATGTGGATGCTGTATGTGCAGATCAGGACAGGAACGGCTTCCAATTGCCGGATGCGTTCCGTAGCTACACCTGGAATCAGTGCGGAGTTGAATCTGGGTATGTGGTTGACTGCTCTACCAAACGCGCCACGTTGAGCATATGGGAAGCAGAATTCCAACAGATGGGGGCACCAAGTCCGCTTATGCAAGATGATGGCCTATTTCCGCCCAATCTTCAACGGCATCCTAGCTGGGTATACTCAACGGGGAGAGTTGCGATGCCTACGGCAAGCAACCTCGAACCGGAAGGAATCGTGCACCCTGAGCATGGAAGAACGCCGGGACAATCGCAAGGATCCGCTGCCGAGCCTCGAGCCACCCCTAGCCACGGACCAAAGAGGGCAAGGACGGACGAGGCAACGGCATCGGCGTCGTCATCTTCGCGGCACCTCCTCCACAACCATCGACTTCGCAACCGGAAGAGGAACCATCGCAACCGACATGGGAGGAAGCTCCAATCCCCGCTGGCGCTCAGGAAAGTTGGTACCATTATGTCAACATCGATGAAAAGGGCTGTCGCTCGAGCTTGCTGGCGACGACCCGTGATCAAGACGAGTACCCACCTACCATTGATGAGACGCCAAAGTTCGTGGCCAACCACGACGTGGGGGCCACACCGATTCAGCATTACGTCAGAAGACTGGTGACCTACTTGGCAAGGATTCGTTCCGTCTCTCAAAGTGACGACAAGGGTCTCAACCTGAAGGTCTACGTGAAGCTGAGCACGAAGATGTGGTTACGGATGTATTCGCGGCTGTACCATGCATTGGCATTGGTGTCGTGCGTGCATCTTCCTTCTCCTCCAATGCTTACCTCGGCAGTGATGATCGAGGCAGACAACGATCTTGTCGACAACGATGAAATTCCGGCAGAAGCAAGGATCAACACCATGAACACGCTGAACGGTTTTCGCAATAGTTTGGGTATGGGTGGCAAGCCTGATGCCGCGACTATGCGCTCTCAATGCACAATCCTCGTCCAAGACTTTGACATGGTCGCAAGGACCAGGGGATCAACGCATACAGTGAGAGAGAATCTCGTCATGCATGGATGGAGTGAGATCTACATTGTGAGCCCGTCGATCACCGCAGGTGCAAACTACAACTTCCAAGTCACAAAGGGATCGTTGGAATCTGTGAATGAGACATTGGATGGCTTGACTGAAGAGCAGCTTGCAACCGTCACGTTGCATTACCATCTGTCTCTCCAGGCGATCCTCATCGAGAACATATCATTTCCGCTGAGTGAGGTCGGAGACGGAGCAGCGATTCGTGCTGACTTGCAGCGACAGCTCAAGGTCACGTACGTTGACCCCATCATTGCGGCAGGGAAGCGTACCACGCGCCCTCCAATTGTCAACATCAACCATGACTTACGGTTCGTTGGAGCAGCCAGCAATTACCTTCGACAGAAAGCTTCTATGTTCAACGGCTTCCACGCGCTGGGAATGTATATTGAACTGGAGTTGCGGGCCCGAGCATGCGTGGTGATTCATGGATCTTCGGTTTGGTCAAGAATGTATAGCCAGGCGAAACATGCGTCGTCAGGCGTGCATACACTGTCAGTCGAAAAGGTGCCACCACCGGACAATCGGGTCAGGTTCAAATTGGGCCTCGCTATCTACGAGAAGCAGCTGTTCTGCGAGAAGATGGTATCCACGTGCTTTGTTGAGGCATCGAAAGTTCGATCATGGGACGAAACTGTCCGAACCGACTCAGTCGCTCACCCGTCGCTTGTCGAGATTTGGGAGGACAAGAGTGAAGTCAAGACGTCCACCAAGATTTCGCAGACATGGTTTACGGGGGAACAGCAGCAACAGATCAGGTCGGGTGCCCAGGGTGACACGGTCGCTGAATCGTCCACAGTCACCTGGCAGGACCCATATGCTCCAATATTGGTTGGAATCAATCGCGATTGATTTTTTCAAGCGCCGATTGAAACGAGGCCAAAATCAATCGCAGAGAGGCTTTTTTTAATAGCGACAAAATCAATCGCAGAGTGTCGTTAAAATCAATAGAAAAATCAAGCGTGGAATCAATAGAAAAATCAATCGCGGAAGTGTGTTTTAGGCACTCACATGTGTGCAAAAACACCATATATCTATTATCTCTTCTGCCATTTACAGGATGTACTTTTCAGCATTTTCGTGAGTTCATAAATATACATATATATATATATATACGTATGTATGTATGTGTATATATATATATAAATATATATATATAAATACATATATATATATATATATATATATATACACACACATATATATATACATATACATATATACATATATACATACAGCTACATATGTCGTGTCTATCCAGACACTGTGAAGAATCGGCAAAGTCCTATCATCAAACACGGACACTCAAAGCTATATAGTACGTACATGAATTTAGGGTTTGGGCTTAGGGTTCAGGGTTTAGGTTGTCTATCCAGACACTAGGACCAAGCGACATGTCTATCCAGACACTGCCCTGCCCCCTGCCCCCTGCCCCCTGCCCCCTGCCCCCTGCCCCCTGCCCCCTGCCCCCCTGCCCCCCTGACTCCTAGTGCAGACAAGTTGCGGTGGCTGCGGCGGTACCTGCATTGTCTATCCAGACACTGAAATAAAAAGTTTAAGACCATATATGTCTATCCAGACACTGGGTTTGCAGAACCCTTCTTTTTTAGTCCTCCGGCTTCTCAGTGTCGAAGTCCAACAAGCCCTTTAAGAGCAAGTGAAAAGCCAGGCTAAACTTTTGAAGCACCTTTCCCACAACCTGGTAGCTGGCAGTTCCACGAGAGCAGCTTGCAGTCACAGCTTTCACAATCGCCAGGTACGACTCAGGGCCATAGCACCAAACACATCTCGGCGTCAGATATTTTGACTGCTGCCCGAAGTGGTAAAAGAGGTGGAACTTCTGGGTGATGCTGTATTTCAGAAGCTTCCTCTTCAATGCATCTTTCGCCAGGAAATGATAGTGGGACAATGTTCCTTGCACTGCATCTTCGAAAACTGTGAAATCCTTTGAAGAAAAAACCAATTTCTTCTCATCTGCCATGCTGTACACTTTGTCCAAACACTCCACACAAGCTTTTCTGTGCATAGATCTGGTAGACGATTCATCACTATATTCCGTGGCCAACCGTACAGCTACTGGCGAAAA